CTATGTGAAAAAATGAAGTTCTTGCTAAAAGAAGAAAGTTGCTCCCATTCTGATGTAACTACAGAGATAACTTCCTGATTAATTACCAGGAAGAAGGAAGGTAGAAAAGATCTAGATCAGGGTTCTTCAGGCCAAGGACCCCAAACTGATGGTTACATGGAGTGGGGACCCCCTAATTATATATATGGTATTAAATAGTGTTCTATCAAACTGCTCCTATAGTCGCTCTATTACAGAGGGAGTAATGTAACTAAAGTAATCCCTCCCTGGGATTATTAAAGTATTTCTGGTTCCTGGTTGATGGGACAGGTGTTGTGGATGAAATGGTGCCCAGCTTAAAAGAGCTCCTGTGTGTCGCTGAATGTGGGCATTGATCATGGGCGGTTCTAGACAGGGGCCAACGGGGGCCAGTGCCCCTGTAGATCAGGTCCTGGCCCCTGTTATGGCCCCTGAACTGAAGACATAATACTCAAATAAATTCTAATGCTGATCTGCGCTGGAACAGACATGGTTACTGATTGGTCCGTTGGATCTATTTCATTTTTTTTCTTTACAAATTCTGTTTTACTAATTATTTGAAAACATAGGATTCCAGTTTTCATCTGCTAATTTATTTATTTATTTTTTTTAAACAAATTGCTCTTATTTTTTATGGCTGAATTTATCCATTTATTTTTACTTCTAATTCAGATTCTATATAAAACGGTAATTTTAACTTAAATTAAATCAAGAATATGTAAAATTCCTAAATTCTGAATGTATATTGACCTAATAAGAAAAACTATTTTAATGGAACCTATTTGAATAGAAATTTAAATTCATGCAGCTATGTTAATATATTTCAATCACTTGCCCTGTTTTTTATTTCATGCTTTTCTGGGCCCCCCATGAAAACACGCTGGCCCCCGCCTGGCCCCCTGGAACATTTGGTCTAGAACCGCCACTGTCAGTGATGACTGAAAGACATCTTCTGCCTCCATTTATCTGTTTACTACAGTCTGTTGAATTCATGTTCATGCGGATTTAAAGACATTTCGATTAGTGGAAAAATTTACAGGAGGAATATGAAAAAAGTTTAATCAAACAAAAATTTCGTGGCCCCATGCAGTACCCCCCTGGACCCCTGGGGGTCACAGACCCCCTGTTGAAGACCTCCGATTTAGACTCTAAAAATAACTGGTGTAGGTCCGTTTGCTTCCTCTAGGGGGAGCTACAGCGGACCATCTCTACCAGAGACACCATCCATCTGCAAAAGTATGGAGTAAATTTTGTTCCATTATTGTTGGAAGCAAAGGAAATACTTTGTAAATGGAAATAAAAAAAAAAAATCAAATTCAGAAATCAAACTTTAAAAATCTTTTGATTGTCATTTTTGCAAGAATTTATTACTCATTTTATTTCTCTAATTATTTTTGAGAATTTTTTTGTTTTGTAATATTACATTTTCTTTTTGTTTTGAAATTATGTTTTACAGATCAAGAGGGCTTTNGACCCCCTGTTGAAGACCTCCGATTTAGACTCTAAAAATAACTGGTGTAGGTCCGTTTGCTTCCTCTAGGGGGAGCTACAGCGGACCATCTCTCCCAGAGACACCATCCATCTGCAAAAGTATGGAGTAAATTTTGTTCCATTATTGTTGGAAGCAAAGGAAATACTTTGTAAATGGAAATAAAAAAAAAAAATCAAATTCAGAAATCAAACTTTAAAAATCTTTTGATTGTCATTTTTGCAAGAATGTATTACTCATTTTATTTCTCTAATTATTTTTGAGAATTTTTTTGTTTTGTAATATTACATTTTCTTTTTGTTTTGAAATTATGTTTTACAGATCAAGAGGGCTTTTCTGTGGAAACGCATCATCGGAAATACGTCACCAATCCAACGACAAATGAAATAGCTTTACTCATCATTAAAGATTAAATATTTATTTTGCACATCTAAAAAAATCTCTTTAAATATGTCTAAATATTTTATTTTAATAATTTAATTTCCATTAGCTTTTTGAAGGTCATTGGGTGAGTGGGGCGGGACCCTACCGCCCTCTATTGACCAGATACTGGTTTGCGGTCGAAGACAATTTGGTTATAAAAATTAGAGATGCTACCGAAAAATCTGTTCATTAGACATACGGAGCTTTTTCAGCTGAAAATGGCAACAGATTGTAAATTTATACAAGTTAGTAATTTAATGCAAGAAGCTGAAGAAAACATTAAATGTTCTTATTTACTAGTAAATAAAAAGCTTCTCAGAGGACCATGACTCCCAGTTAGAGGGTTAAAATAAACACATGCTTTCTAATTGTACAGACAGAATTTTTAAAAGTGCATAAAAATATGACGAAAAGGATCTTTATAATAAAAAAAAAAATAAGAAAATAGCAAAGTTACTTTCAAAACATTTTTAGATTAAGAAGTGTATAATATATTGATTAAGAACTCCAGGTTTCCATACGGAAGAGGATTAGGGCCACTGGGAAAAAAAAAGAAAAGATTTTAAAATATTATTTCAGTTTAATATGGGAAAAAATCTCTGATAAAGATGTGAGTAGTTAGGGCGAAACAGGAACACACTGGTGGAAAATGATGGAATTAGGCGAATTTTTCCATCCCTGAGGGTTCCTGGTGATGCTATTTGATTAATGGAAAAGCAGAAGGTGATTAAAACAGGAAAACTAGACTCTAAAACAGACATGGCTACAGCTGGATGCTAACATGTTAGCTGTCAGAATTCTGTCAGAATTTTGAGATTAAAGGAAGAATTCTGAAATAAGGGTCAGAATTCTCGGGAAAAAAAATATCCAAATTCTAATTTTAATGTCAGAATTCTGAGAAAAAAGTAAGAATTCTGTGATTTAAATCAGAATTCTGAGATTAAAGTCAGAATTCTGACTTTTGTCACATATTCTACTGAAATAAAATTAAAAACTCAATTAACTTTTTCATTTTTCCAGTGTGGATTTAATCCTCTTCCTTATTTCCAACCAGCTTCTTCTCTTCTTCTGCTCTGCTCAGCACCACTAGCTGCTATAGAGGCAAACGCGGTTCTAGGCAGGGGCCAACAGGGGCCAGCGCCCCTAGAGATGCTGGCCCCTGTTATGGCCCCTGTAGGCCTACTTCTTAAAACATACACTATAAAAAATGTAAATATAAATCTATTTTCCTGAATGGGTAGGTAAGACAATTTACTAATGGAATAAGGTGATTTCTATATAACATGATAAAAAAAACCCATCCTCCTATTTCAAGTAGTTTATATGTAATTATCTTATTTTGAGGGTAAAATATATATTTTTTGGCAATCATCATCTTATTTACCAACTCATTTTAAGAAGTTTTTACATTTCAGATGTCCATCCTGATTACAGCCATAATAAGATACAACCAGGTTTTCATCATCATCAATAACTTTGTTCTGTGTCCCCATTAAAAACCATTGCCCCCCCGGCCCCCCTGGTAAACTTGGTCTAGAACCGCCTCTGTATAGAGGACCCCCTCCATCCATTAGCTCTGCAGCTGCTTCTCTCTGCAGGTGAACTCACCTGTAGACGGAGCTCCATACGTCACTGAGGACATCTGCTGTCAGAACAGCAGAAAGCACCTTAAAAGGAAATATAACAGAAAAAGAAAACATTTCTCTCTCTGTTAGTTTTTAGCAGGAAATCTGCTCATATTTAATCTCTCATCTTGATCCATTGACTTCCAGAACATCCATGATGCATCATTCCTCCTGAAAGAGGATATTTCCACAACATCAAACAGTGAAACACATGAACCCTGAAATAAATATGCAGACATCTGCTCCAGTTTAAACAAGAAAGGAAATCAAACACCCATAAAACACGTGTGCTTGTTGTTTTTCCCCTCATGTTTTAGGGACATCAGAGAGAAAATCCACACTGATTGGATCCATGACAAGCTTCCATTCTGATAGGAACTAAATATATTTTCTTTCACTTAGAAAAAATTAATGAATAAAAACTAATCACAGACAGTTGATTAAAAATCGATCAATAAATATAGAAATGACTGCATATGGACGTAAACTATGGAGCTAAGATCTGCATCCTGCAGGAACATCTTCTGACATCTTCTGTCTTATTGTTCAGTGTTTTATTCACAGTCTGCAGAAAGTGAAGATTTAAGGGAAAAACTGTTTAAATGTGTCTCACAGTCATTTATAAGTGGCCTTTTACAGTCAACTTTTGTATCTATGCTTCTTTTTCTATGTCTGCTTCTGTCTCCTTGAACCCCAGTGGGCCTCAGCAGATGGCCGCTCACACTGAGCCTGGTTCTGCTGGAGGTTTCTTCCTGTTCAAAGGGAGTTTTTCCTCTCCACTGTCGCTACAAGCATGCTTAGTGTGAGGGATTGCTGAAGAGTCAATGAGTCGATGCAATCAGCTGGTTTTCCTTAGATAGAAAACTTTGAATCAATCTGACTGGATGATCTGGTTGAACTGGAAAGTGACCTGAGATGACATGATGTGAATTGGAGCTATAGAAATAAACTGAATAGAATTGAATACATTTTTATGTGTTTGAAGTTTTTAATTCTAATAAATTGAAGATAAATCACAGTTTATGTTATTTGTCAAAACAATGTTTGATTGTAGTTGGAAGATGATTATCATAATATTATTTTATGCATGATTTATTGTTTAAATTTTGAATTATACATATTATTAGTGTAATATTTTTATATAAAAGAATAACTTAAAATAAAAATGTATATTAAATTTACTTATGATGCTATTAGTAGGAACTCACATCAATTTTCCTGTTTTCTATTTATAAAGAATAAATAAAGGTAACGTAATGAAGCTGGGTTGCCTGAAAGACAAGGCGGAGGGAAAAACAAACAGCTGCTAATGTGAACGCGCCACGTGGAGGAGCAGGCAGAGGGGCGGGAACGCGCCCAGCTCTCCGCGCGCCGCTCACACCTGCAATGTGGACCTGTCGGTCCCTTTAATCAGGCTTTAGCCCCTCCTTCTCTAACAGGGCGCACCTGAGCAGGTGCGTCCACGGCGCGTTTCTTTGCTGACATCATCGGCGTCGTTGCGCAGCTTCCGGCTGTCAGGTGAGGCGGAAGAGAAGAGAGGAGCGAAGAGTCACCCGTCAGCTCACCTGTCGATAAGCAAGGAGGAAAAAAAGTAAGTTAAAGCGGGAAATATGGCCGATAACCTGAGGGGAGCTGTTCTATGTGCTCTGGTTCTATGTGCTCAGGTTCTATATTCTGTGTTCTCTTGTTCTATGTTCTGTGGATCTGTTTGTTGTCGTCACTTCCAGTTTCTCCCCTGTGCTCCATGGAGATCAGCAGCCAGAAAAACCAGTTTAGAACCAGACCTTAATGGGCCTGTTGTGGTGCCCAACCTCAGGTTCAGGGCCCTTTGAAGGGCCTCAGGAGGACAAAGCTCCGGCCGCTGTTCTGTCAGACCAACATACCTACAGTCCATACGCAACACCTCAGATCTGCATTTATCTCTTTAGTTTAGTACGAAAAATAAACCTTAAAACTTCCTCAAAGGCCGTGTTTCCCTTCAGTCATGCACAAAAAAACGACACAATTTAAGGTCAGATCAGCATACGCTTCAAAAGACACTAAAAAGTAAGTTATTAAATTAGTTTTTTATACATGACTAAAGGGATAAACGTTGGTTTGGGTAGTTTAGTCTATTTTTCGTACAAAATTAAAAGGATAAACTATTAAAGGGATAAACGGGTATTAATTATCTGACTCATCTGACAGAACACCGGTAAAAATGAAATCAAGCAAGCAACAGATTTGATTTAAAAATGTTTACTTCTGTGATATTTAGCTTTTACCTTCAGTTTTACTGCATGATTTCAGTTTAAAGTAATTATTTAATGATTTAGGCAGACCTTTGTCACGTTTTGTTCTGGGAAATCTGCGTTACTGTACCTTTAAAAAGACTTTTGGATTCAGGAGTTATCAGGAAACATTTATGTGTCGATCACAGGTTGCTAACATGTTGCTCAACGACACAGAGGAAAACAATCAAAGGGAATTAAGGGCTTAAGGAATGTATGATGAAATAAAAATATATATTGATGTTAAAACATCGAGTTATCACAGAAATAAAGATACTGAAATGAGTAAAACGGTTTATAATTCAGACTAACAGGATTTATTGTTTATCTTTTGAGTCTTCACTATAAGTTTTTCAAAGGTCATTTTGTACGGAAGAGGATTAGGGCCACTATAAAAATGGAAAAAAAGCTACAGATTTAAAAAAAATGTTTCATTTCAGTTTAATTTTAGGAAAAAAGTCAGAATTCTGACATGTTAGCATCAAGCTGTAGCCATGTTTGTTTCAGAGACTAGATCTCTCGTTTTAATAATGATAAATTTTATTTCAAAGGAGCCTTTCTGGACTGAAGGTACAAAGATAAAAACACAACGGGAGAAACAAAGCCGTCAAAGTCCTGAGGTTTGGAGGTTTGGAGAAAAGTGACTTGGAGCTATGTTGATTGGCAATGGTTAGGCTGGAGTAGTGCTGAGTTTTACTGCTGGCAATGGAGTCCTGATAGTGAAAGATTGGATTATTGTACATTTCTTAAATTTTAAGAAAAGTTTGGATCACCTTCTGCTCTTCCATTAATCAAATAGAATCAGCAGGGACCCTCAGGGACGGAAAAACTCGCCTAATTG